CACACACACACACACACACACACACACACACACACACACAGCATGCAAAAGATTATATACGTCAATATTCTCCATTCAAATGAAACTGTCATAGAAAACAGAAACTGTTCATTTCTTCGTGAACAAACTTCTAAAATCAGCAGTGCATCAAATCATTATTTACCACACAGGATGTTCAGACAGATTAACACTGACACTAATCTGATCAGTGAGTAAGAGGTTTATCACTAAACTTTAACTGCTGCAGCCAACTGTCACACTGCAGCGACAAAACTAAATTAACTAAGCAACTCCTTCACTGACTGAAAAATGACTCAGTTCCAACACAGACTGAAGTATTTWATCCCACAGTGACATCCTTCATCAGCTTCATTCATTCTGACAATGGTTTTCTGAACAACCCTATCCTGGATCACAGTTATTGTGCTGTCTATCCATCACTGGGTTCCTTTCATGATTTTTAYAACTTTGTCTCAACAGATGAGCTTTAATTTTTCTTCTTGTTCTGACATTGTTTTTAGAATTAACAGTTTCCTCTGTCTGTTGAAGGWTTTCCAGCAAATGTTGTGTAAGTTTTGTTTTAATATTTGTTGTTGGATTTGTCCTGCTGTGTTGTCTGTTGTATTCTAAATACCATATCCAATTAAATATTAACCTTTGGGTTTTGTTTTAATATATTTTGCATTTKTTAATAATTCAGACACAACTTTACTTTCCCCAAGGAACAATTAGACAGACAGCATGAGGCAGCAACACTGTGTGTGTTCAGAGCTGTCCAAACTGAAGCTAACAAACTCTGCAGGAAGTCAGCAGGTGACTGACAGGATCTCCTTTATGCTGTTTTATTTTCCTTCTTGTCATTATAATTAGCATGTTTAAACTTTGTGTTAATCACAAGTAATGTGCGGAGTTTAGAACTCAAATGACTGAATTTAAAATATTTCTATGTTCAGTGTTTTTTTCACATTTAATCCTGAACAGTCTGTCGTGTCAATGTTTTACAAATTTAGCATGTGTTCTACTCCTCCCTTCATCCAGCCTGTGTCAGAACTTAGTTCACTTATTTGTCTCATAATGGTGTTTATATTAAATATAATATTTGAAGCAAATTCATATGAGTAGAAAGATACAAACAGTTGAAACCAGATGTTTCCATCCACCATGTAACAAGACAACATGTTTTTTTACTATTTGACATTAAATATTAAATATTAAACGTGTCAATTAGGATTCCCCAAATTAACTCTGTTAAAAGCCTGAAGAGGCATAATTGTTAAAAAATTATATATACTGTATATATA